TTTTCAATAAAATCCATAAAACCACATTTTTCCATCAAAACCTATAAAACCCGCCAAAACATGTAAACCTCGTAATATCTGCAAAACTACGTTTACAGCCAAATCCATAAACCCATATTTTTCCATAAAATTGTAAAATCCGTAACATCATGTTTTACGACCAAATTTCTAACTCATGTATTTCTGCCAAACCTGCAAAATCGAGTTTCCAAATCCACAAACCCGTATGTTCTCGTATGACAATATTTTTCCGCTAAAACATGTAAAGCCTTAAAAAACCGCAAAATTGCGTTATTTGCAATCCGCAAATCCATGTTTTCCCGTAAACCCATAAATTCTGCAAAATTATGATTTACGACCAAATTTCTAAAATCATGTGTTTCTGCTAAATCTACAAAACACATTTCTTGTCAAACTAACATTTTCTCGTAAAAGTATATTTTCCGCTAAAACTTATAAAATCTGCTAAAACTTGTAAAACCCGTAAAATCTACAAATTTGTGTTTGTCAAATCTGCAAACCCATGATTTCCTGCCAAAAATCATTAACAAACCAGAAAAAAAAATTATTTACATAATATATTTTTCATAGTATGTATATATGTAACCAAAAAATAATGATTACATATTCATTATTAACTGTAAATTGTCACATTTAGTAAATACCATATTAGCTTTTAGATATTTTAAAGTAGTGCTTTTTTTATTGAATAGAGAATAAATTAATTATAATATAATATATCTATAATTATATTAGTTATTCATGCCATATATATGTGGTAATTATGTTAAGATATTATGAAAGTTTTTGAAATAATTTCGAAATTAAATTAATTTGAATTTTATTAATATCAGATATAATTTATTGGTATTATCATGTTAACAAACTAATATAATTTAGTTTAATTTAATTTAATGTATTTTTAGTAGTTTTTTTTGGTAAGGTGTATTTTTAGTAGTTTAATGATATGACTAAATTACTTTTAATAAATTAATAATATTATTTAGTAAATACAATGGCATATATTGTAAATACCATGATAACTTTTGAACATTTATTAAAACAACATTTAATACCATTTATATAATTTATACATAATGCTTATATTAATTCATTAATAGCAATTGCTGTAAATAACACAGTAAACAAATGTTAGTTTTAAAAAATGATCTTTTTTTAATAGTATAGATTTTTGCTAAAGGAGTTTTAATAACGAATACATTCGTAACTGTTATATTATGGGTTAATGTCCACTTGAAATTTTTTAAATATATTTCTGTAGTAAGTTGTAGATATTGTATAAACTCTTGCAGTGATGCTACTAAGAAGCAACTATGTCATGTAGATGGACAGAGCCGTGAGACCCGTGACACCATTAAAAATTAAAAGATGTTATTCATAATTGTTAGTAAAAAAAAAAAATTTACTAATTAACTTTCAATTAAATCAGTGGTTTAAGTGAAAAAAAGAAAAAATTACATAACATAAATTAAAATTTATTATAATTTTTAATATTAATAATTATTTCTATAAAAAACTTAAATTATTTTCGTATCTTAATTTTTAATATTAAGAATTGTTTTTATTTAGTTACTTAAAGCCAAGGTATTATAAATTTTTAAACCCATATATAACTTACTTATAATATAAAAACATTAAGTACATAGACCTATATGTATGACCACATACATAAAAAACTATTTTATTATTTGATAATTGATATTAATATAATATAACTAATACAAATAAAGATGAAATATATATTTTTTATATAAAATAATTGACGCCTTTACAATGACAACACAAAATTGTTGCTGAAAGCGAATGTTTTTTTTTATACCGTAAGCACGGCTCATGGGCATGCATACTAAAACATCGCGTTATGAATAAAATTATAACAAACAGCCATATGAATACAAAATTGATCAACTGTTACAGACTTTGTTTAATCTAATAGAAGTCTTATATACACACTAAACTGGAACTAACTAGTTACAAAGAAATGAAAATAATGTTGTTCTTAGAAATCCTACAGAAAAATATAATAAGATTTAGAATAATACATAAATAAGTGACACAATCTGATAATCCAATCTCTTCATGGTCAACTGATATTAAGTTAAAGCTTATATTCAGGAGATTCGTAGCCAAAAATATAATTAAAATCATTCCTTATGAATTTTTTTTCCTACGCGACATGTCTCATGTGTATTATTGTCTTATAACGACCACTTTTTTTCTTTACTTATAAACTCTTTTTTTTCTTTTTCCAATAATTGTTTGAAAAGTCTTAGCTTTACCGAATCGAGTTAAAAAATTATAAAAGATTAGCGGGACCCTTGGTTTATCTTTTCTTAATCAAATCGAGGATCTAAAGAGAAGACAAGTCTCACACGACGACCCTTTCCACTCTTTTTTGTTTATCTTTTAATACTACTTTTCTGCTGATTGTCAACAAAATAAACTTTCCGAGGAGGACGACTTGTTTAATTAAAACGTTTCCGCGGTGTTTCTTTTTTAATTAAACTAGGTATTTATCCGCGCTATGCTGCAAGATATTTTTCTAAATTTTGCATATATTTTTAATATAATAAAATTATTTTTATAATATAAATGAATAATATATTTATTTTTTATTAACTTAAATTATGTATTTATATATTTTAAATCTGAATAAACATTATCTATTTTTATTATTTTATTTTTCAAAATTATAACTTACTATTAAATTTAGTTAGCTAACTAATTATAAATGTATATATATGAATAAAATATATAAGAATAAACCAATACATATTTAGTACATTCATGCTAATGGCAAATGTAATCTATCTTCTCCAATAAATTGCCATATGATCCTCATTTGTAATTATATAAAGCAAAATATCATTTAAAAAAGATTTATTAATTAATATAATTATTTTAAATTATAAAATTTATTTATTTATAAAAATATTTTATTATAAACATATGTTTCTAAAACTACCAAACTATAATCAATAACATTCATATCAAAACCATTGCTATTGCTTTAGAACTAATTAGAAATTTATGTTTGAACTCTTAAAATATCGTTTTAGTTAAAGTTAAATAATTAAATTTTGGTTACTGTAAACATATTTTAACTTGGAAATTTAGCACAGAGAAATTTTATCTTCTTACAAAAATCGAGAAATCGCATTTTTCGTCAAAACAAAAAAACTTCATTTTCCCATTAAACTGAGAAATCGGCTATTCCCACTAAAACCAAAAAAAAATTATTTTCTCGTCAAAACTAAAACCTAAAATTTCATTTTCCTGTGAGAACCTGTGTATTTCCACTAAAGCCGAGAAATTACGTTTTTCACAAAAACCAAAAAATTTCATCTTCCTGCAAAAACCAAAAAAAAATAATTATATTTTCCTGCCAAAATCGAAAAATTTATTTTTCTTGCGAAAACTGAGAAATCGTCTATTCCTGCAAAAAAAAAAATTATTTTCTCGTCAAGCTCATAACCACTCTTTCCTACAAAACAAATAAACTACAATTTCCCGTGAAAACCAAAAATTGCATTATCTCCCATGAAATTGTGTTTTCCTGCGAAAACTAAAAAATTGTTATGTTTTTATCGATTCAAATTTTTGCTGATGTGTGAGCTTCTTATAACATAAGGCTTTTTGCGTTGTTGCATGGAAGCATAGTTGATGCTGAGTCTACACTTTTTTAATCATATACATCTATGTCAAACAAATAGATAGCTATAATTTTTTTTTATTATTTATTTATTGTTATTTATTATTTGGATTTGCTTTTGGTAAAAAAAACCATGATTAATTTTTTATTTGTTTTTATTTATTATTTTGATTTGGTAAAAAATAAAATAATGACTTTTTATTTGCTGTTATTAATTATTTGGGCTTGGGTTTGGTAAAAAATAAAACTAAAATTAATAGAAAATATATTTGGGTTTTTAATGGGTTTAAGTTTAAAAATTAAAATAAGTAGATGAGATATATTAATAAAATATTTTGATTGATGATTATTTTGCTGAGGTGTCATATTTATAAAGCTTAAAAAAGCTGACGTGTCAAACCATGGAGAGACTTTAGTGTTATTGTTGTGTTGATTAAATAATATACAAACTAGATTTTCTCAACTGAATTAGAAGATTATACAGTACATACATGTAATACTATATAATACACGAGAAAAAGAGATTCTTGACCAAAAATAAGAAAAAATACACAAAAGATTCGTATCAGAACTTTCCCATTCCAATGAATTTTTCTTCTACTTGCATATAAACAAAATATTAGCCAATGCATATTTTTTTTGTTAAGGTCGTGGGTACATCATCGAAATATTTGTGATTGAAGCATCTGAACTTACATATTTTTAGTTGTTTTTTTTCTTCTTTCGAATAAATCCTCCTGGTCCAACGAATTCTTATCATATATATTGATATATTACCTTCTTTATTTTTGTGCAAAATCATATATATACCTTTTTGTTTTTGGTTTTATCTTATATACCTATAGACATTGAAGGCAGTTTTAAGTAATTTTTTTTTTTTATAAACAGTCAAGTCATGGTGGTAGTTGGCTTGGTACTTGGTATAATAGAACAAACATCACACACTAAAAATTGAATAGTATCTTAAAAAAGAATCCTTGATTTGTCTCTAAAGTTTTTCAATAATAATCAAAACAATTTATTTTATAGAATAATAATTATGTGGATGAAAACTAAACATGCAATTTCACTATTCGACGACTAACTAAAAAACAAACAGAATTGGAAAGTGCAATACAGAAAAAATGGTTGAAGTCTAAACAAGAACCCAAAATATAATTATTACTAGATAGAAAAAGAACAAAAAAGGTATTAATTGCATATAATTTGCATATAATATTTGTTGCAATAAAACGAATATAATAAACATGTGAAGAGCGTAGTAGTTGTTGTTGTTTATCTTCCCTTTTTCCTCTCAGTTTCTCGACGACTATTTTTTTCCGGGAAAATGCGGTGGATTTCTTCTTCTCCGTGGCTCTCTGAGCTCTCTTGTTCTTCTTCGGCGGTTATAGAATCAACATCCTCTGTTCCAGTAGCAATCCAATGGCTGAGATTTGTTTTCCTCTCTCCATGTCCTCAACGTGTTATCTTCTCCGCCGTAGATCTTCTCTTCATCGCCGTCCTCATCTTCTTCGCTCTTCAGAAACTCTTTCCTTCTTCTTCCTCCTCTACCGAAATCAACGGAAACACAGAGATTAGGAAACCCCTAATCGGAAGCCGTGGAAGAACCCCAACAAGAACAACCTCGTGGTTCAAAACGACAGTCATAGTCACCGTTCTATTGTCGTTTTGCTCCGTCGTGCTCTGTGTTTTGGCGTTCACGGGGAAACAACAGAGACCATGGATCCTCATAGACACTCTGTTTTGGCTAATCCACGCCGTCGCAAACACCGCCATCGCCGTTCTCGTCCTCCACGAGAAGAGATTCGCAGCTCTGAACCATCCCCTATCTCTAAGAATCTACTGGGTTTCAAGCTTCGTCGTCACATCTCTCTTCGCCGTCTCCGGGATTCTCCATTTACTCTCCGACGGCCTGAGAACAGAGGACGCCGCCTCGTTCTTCTCCTTCCCGCTAGCCGCCTTTCTCCTCATCGTTTCCGTCACAGGAACAACCGGCGTGGCCACAACGGAAACGGAGGAGAGCAAACGAAACGACGCCGTTTCGGAGAAACCCGATAACGTCTCTCTCTACGCGTCAGCTTCCGCCTTCTCCAAGATGTTCTGGATATGGATGAATCCTTTACTGAGCAAAGGATACAAATCGCCATTGACGCTGGAGCAAGTCCCGACGCTATCTCCGGAGCACAAAGCAGAGAGGCTCGCGCACCTCTTCGAATCGAGCTGGCCGAAACCGTCGGAGAACTCGAGCCACCCCGTCCGTACGACTCTGATCCGATGTTACTGGAAAGAGATCCTCTTCACGGCGATGCTAGCCATCATCCGCCTCGCCGTCATGTACGTAGGTCCCGTTCTCATCCAGAGCTTCGTCGATTTCACCTCCGGCAAGAGATCCTCGCCGCTGCAGGGATACTACCTCGTCCTCGTCCTCCTCGTCGCGAAATTCGTCGAGGTCTTGACGACGCATCAGTTCAACTTCCACTCGCAGAAGCTCGGGATGCTCATAAGGTCGACTCTAATCACCGCACTGTACAAGAAAGGCTTGAAGCTCACGAGCTCGGCGCGTCAGAGCCACGGCGTCGGGCAGATCGTGAACTACATGGCCGTCGATGCGCAACAGCTCTCTGACATGATGCTTCAGCTCCACGCAATCTGGCTTATGCCGTTACAGGTCACACTCGCGTTAGTGCTTCTCTACGGAAGCCTAGGCGCGTCTGTAGTCACGGCCATCGTCGGTCTCACCGGAGTTTTCGTCTTCATCCTCTTGGGGACTAAGAGAAACAACAGATACCAATTCAGCTTGATGGGAAACAGAGATTCTCGGATGAAAGCGACCAACGAGATGCTCAATTACATGAGAGTGATCAAGTTCCAAGCTTGGGAGAATCATTTCAACAAGAGGATACTTAATTTCAGGGACATGGAATTTGGTTGGCTCTCCAAGTTTCTCTACTCCATAGCCGGGAACATCATCGTTCTCTGGAGCACGCCGGTGCTTATCTCAGCGCTCACTTTCGCCACCGCGCTTTTCTTGGGAGTCAAGCTTGACGCCGGGACTGTGTTCACCACCACGACCATCTTCAAGATCTTGCAAGAACCTATTAGGACGTTTCCTCAGTCGATGATATCTCTCTCTCAGGCAATGATCTCTTTGGGGAGACTTGACTCGTACATGATGAGCAAAGAGCTCTCGAGTGAGGCCGTGGAAAGAGCCACTGGTTGTGATGGAAGTATAGCCGTTGAGGTTAGAGATGGAAGCTTTAGTTGGGATGATGAAGAGAACGAACCTGCACTCAAAGACATTAACTTTAAGGTTAACAAAGGAGAGCTCACTGCTATTGTTGGAACCGTTGGTTCGGGAAAATCTTCACTTTTAGCTTCGGTTCTTGGCGAAATGCACAAAACCTCGGGCCATGTGAGAGTTTGTGGGAGCACAGGTTATGTAGCGCAGACATCGTGGATTCAGAACGGGACGGTTCAAGACAACATCTTGTTTGGTCTTCCGATGGTTAGAGAGAAGTACAACAAAGTTCTCAACGTTTGTAGTCTGGAAAAAGACTTGCAAATGATGGAGTTTGGGGATCAAACTGAGATCGGAGAACGTGGAATCAACCTGAGCGGAGGGCAGAAGCAGCGTATACAGCTCGCTCGTGCGGTTTATCAGGATTGCGATGTGTACTTTCTTGATGATGTTTTCAGCGCCGTGGATGCTCATACCGGTTCAGACATATTCAAGGTAAAAAGGGACACACTTAAAAACTTATTGTATTACCTTCAAAGTGCAACACAAGTTGATTCTTGTTTATTTGTTTGTAGAAATGTGTGAGAGGAGCTCTTAAAGGCAAGACCATCTTGCTCGTAACCCATCAAGTGGACTTCTTGCACAACGTCGATTGCATTTTGGTGATGCGGGAAGGGAAGATCGTCGAATCAGGAAGATACGACGAGTTAGTCAGCTCCGGTTTGGATTTCGGGGAGCTCGTAGCTGCACATGAGACATCAATGGAGTTAGTTGAAGCCGGTGCAGACTTTGCAGCATCATCAGCAACAACAACAATCGCTACATCACCAAGAGAACTAACCTCCCCCCGTGCAAGCTCCCCGAGAACGTCCATGGAGTCTCCCCACTTAAGTGATCTAAACGACGAACACGTCAAGTCGTTCCTCGGCTCTCAAGTAGTAGAAGATGGCTCAAAGCTCATCAAAGAAGAGCAAAGAGAAACCGGTCAAGTTAGCCTCCGAGTTTACAAACAGTACTGCACTGAGGCTTATGGCTGGTGGGGCGTTGTGCTTGTGGTGTTCTTCTCTCTGACCTGGCAAGGATCTCTGATGGCTAGCGATTACTGGCTCGCCTACGAAACATCAGCCAAGAACGCGGTTTCATTCGACGCCTCTGTTTTCATTTATGTCTACGTCATTATCACACTTGTTTCCATCGTTTTGGTGAGCTTCCGCTCGTATTACGTCACTCACTTGGGACTCAAGACTGCTCAGATCTTCTTCAGACAGATTCTCAACAGTATCTTACATGCTCCCATGTCTTTCTTCGACACCACGCCATCGGGAAGAATTCTCAGTCGGGTGAGAGACAACTTTCAAAACCCTCTAAATGTTTGATTTTTGAGCAAAGAGATGGTTAAAAAAAGTTCTTCTTCTTTCGGTTTACTTTTGCAGGCGTCGACTGATCAAACCAATGTCGATATTCTCATCCCATTCATGCTCGGACTTGTGGCTTCAATGTACACTACTCTGCTTAGCATTTTCGTAGTTACTTGCCAATACTCTTGGCCAACTGTTTTCTTTGTGATTCCTCTTGGATGGCTCAACATTTGGTACCGGGTATGCATCTCTTATGCTCTCTCACGTTTCTTCTTTTGATGTTTTTATGTTCTAAATGCTGCTTTTGCTTTTGATCCTTACAGAACTATTACCTCGCATCTTCCCGGGAATTAACGCGGCTGGATTCGATCACTAAGGCTCCGGTCATCCACCATTTCTCAGAGAGTATAGCTGGAGTGATGACAATCAGATCGTTCAGGAAACATGAGATATTTAGGCAGGAGAATGTGAAGCGTGTCAATGATAATCTAAGGATGGACTTTCACAACAATGGCTCAAACGAATGGCTCGGGTTTAGGCTAGAGCTGAGTGGGAGCTGGGTGCTCTGTATCTCGGCTCTGTTTATGGTTATGTTACCTAGCAACGTAATCAAACCAGGTACGTATTCTTTGAGATGATACCACATTTTTTTTTTTTTTGAAAATGGCCTTAGAGATGATACCACATTAACCACCACTATATGTTCCTTTGAGATGATATCAATCATGAACATTGTTTTGGTCTGATGCAGAGAATGTAGGGTTGTCTCTTTCGTACGGACTGTCTCTGAACTCGGTTCTGTTCTGGGCGATATACATGAGCTGCTTTGTCGAGAACAAGATGGTTTCCGTTGAAAGGATCAAACAGTTCACTGATATTCCTTCGGAAGCCGAGTGGGAGAGCAAAGAAAACCTCCCACCTTCGAATTGGCCTTTCCATGGCGATGTACATCTTGAAGACCTCAAGGTAAATTCAAAAAAAAAGTCAAACATCTTCATGAACTTGTGAAGAAGTAAGTAATCTCATGAAGTTTGTATAAACCAACAGGTACGTTACAGGCCAAACACACCTCTTGTGCTCAAGGGAATCACTCTGGACATCAAAGGAGGAGAGAAGGTAGGTGTAGTTGGGCGAACAGGAAGCGGGAAATCGACTTTGATCCAAGTCTTGTTCAGGCTTGTAGAACCATCAGAAGGGAGGATAATCATAGATGGGATCGATATCTGCACTCTAGGGTTACATGATCTCAGGTCAAGATTCGGAATCATACCTCAAGAACCAGTCCTCTTTGAAGGTACCGTGAGGAGCAACATCGACCCAACAGATCAATACTCTGACGAAGAAATCTGGAAGGTGAATAAACAAAACCCATTTTAGCTACAACGTTGAAAGTTACAATCAAAAACCATATACAATAATCTGTTTTTTATTCCTTTCATTTTCCAGAGCCTAGAACGTTGCCAACTCAAGGACGTTGTTGCTACAAAGCCTGAAAAGCTTGATTCTTTAGGTGAGTTCTTTACATATATACATTTTTCTTGAAATAAGAATCTTGAGAATGATATAGTTTTATTGTAACAGTGGTTGATAGTGGCGAGAACTGGAGCGTAGGACAGAGGCAGCTTCTATGTTTAGGCAGGGTTATGCTGAAACGAAGCAGACTTCTGTTCCTAGACGAGGCAACTGCATCTGTTGATTCTCAAACCGACTCCGTGATTCAGAAAATCATCAGAGAAGACTTTGCGTCTTGTACCATAATCAGCATCGCTCACCGGATCCCTACAGTGATGGACGGTGATCGAGTCCTTGTCATAGACGAAGGTAAGAGAGAAAAAACAACTTATTTGTTTTGTCAATCACACAAATTCAAGATTGTGTTGATTAGTGACTTACTGACTTATAAAAATGGAAAATACGAAACAGGAAAAGCGAAAGAGTTCGATAGTCCTGCTCGTTTGCTTGAGAGACAGTCTCTGTTTGGTGCGTTGGTGCAAGAGTACGCTCTCCGATCTACCGGAATATGAGACTTTGACACACTGGCATAAGACTTTGAAGTTTAGCGTTATAAGGTTGCTTACAATATTTTAACTGACACGAGAAGAATATCGAGTGTTTGTTTGTGTAATTCAAATTAAACAAAATTTCAATAAATCGTTGACTCGCATGGAGAGCAAATAGAGATTGTGTTCATGAAATCTCTCATTAACAAAAGGATCAGAGAAAGCCAACAAAGCTTAACATCTTCCTCTAGAGTCACAACTTGCTCATAATGATCTCCAGGTTGTATGTATTATTGAAACCTTTTTTTTTTTGATCCCGGTCTCTATGATTGGGTTTACTTGTAATGTAACGTACAATCTTCGAAAAGTTTACGCGTTTGGGTGATAAAAGCTAAAAGTGGCAAGAGACAAGTCAAGTGTCCTTGTCCTTGATCTTTAAAACCAATGGAACATCAAGAATGGACCATCCTTTCATATAGGGGGTGTATTCAAAATAAAATTTATAGTGATTTGTATTAAAATCACAAACTCTCTGTTATTGAAACTTAAATTTTTAAAAAGTTGTTTAAAATTCAGTGTTATTGAATTAGTGATTTGAAAATGTAACTTTAAATTTATTGTTATTGGAAATAATTTAAGTAGTGGATTTTAAGAAACTTGTAGTGAGTTTAAGATGTTTTGATGGAATTTCTTAGTTAAAAATATAAAAATCCAAATCTCATGGTTTTAGATGGTTTTAGGTGAAGTTTGATAGAATTTTAATATCAAATCATAATAATTTCCATAATTCAACCAAATCATCTAAGTTAAAACTCAAATCCTTCTAAATCATTTCAAATGTTAAGATGAATACACCCCCCCCCCATAATTTAAAGAAAATCCCCAAATATTGCAAAGAAAATTGACAAGTAGCGTTCTAGTAATGGGATCTGTTTGGCCTTGAAAAAGGATGAGACTTTATTCTCTATGTACTTACCTTAGATCTGATAGAACAGCTTGTAATTGCAGACACAAGATGTGGTCAGGTCTCAATCAACGAATGCTTGTTTAGTTACCGCCATTTTCACCACCACAAATCCTGTGCCTATTTGTAACAAATAAAAGCCATAAGGAAAACATCAAGATTTGGCAAAGAATAGAACAGAAGATAGAGATGACAAAGTATCTCTCGAACTGTCAAAAAAGAAGAAGAACAAACTGATTAAATTAAATTAAGGTAATCAAAATCCATAGACCAATTAACTAATAAACAATCATTAAATCAAATAGAAAATAACGTCTCACATGTGTCTAGTAGACTTATCAATACCTCTGGTGCGAAAGACACTCACCAAAACACCAATTGGAGTTTTGGCATTTGGTCCAAAAAGGCAAGTCAACGTCTTCTACACATGCGAAAACCCATTTCACTGAAATTCGATTGACATAGATCCACTTTTCTCAGCCTCTCTCTCTCTCTCTCTCTGAAACAGAGCAAGCAAATGGATTCTGCATCGTCAAAGACCAAAGCTTTAGCCCTTCCGCTTCACATCTTAGGCTTTGAGCTCGATGAGTTATCTCCGACACGTGTCACCGGTCATCTTCCCGTTTCTGCAGTCTGCTGCCAGGTTCTTTCTTCCTTCTTCTTCAATTTGATCATTGACCCTTTTTTTTGCCCACAAATTCTGAGAGAAATTCCAAAATTTCCTCAAAAAGCCTTTCAAGGTGTTACACGGTGGTATATCTGCTTTGATCGCCGAGGCTTTAGCAAGTATAGGAGCTTACATGGCTTCTGGTCTCAAAAGGATCGCTGGATTTCAACTCTCAATCAACCACTTCAAGAGTGCCGATCTCGGAGACCATGTCTTCGCCGAGGCATCTCCTGTGAGCACAGGCAAAACCATTCAAGTGTGGGAAGTCAAGCTTTGGAAAACAACAAACGGTTCTGAGAATGCTAACAAAACCTTAATATCTTCCTCTACAGTCACACTTCTCTGCAACCTTCCTGTCCCTGATCACGCCAAAGAGGCAGCAGAGGGGTTCAAATTGTTCTCCAAGTTGTAGATATCAAAGCTTTGATCTCTCTATATGTGATTCTGCTTACCTCCCTAATAGCTTTTCCTACTTGTTACTTGTATGTATCATCTTCTAAAAATTTACCCTTTTTGGGTTGTGATTAATAAGCTAAAAGTGGCAAAAGACAAGCCACACCAGAATGTATTGGAACTTATCCCAATTTGGATTTATGAATGTTTTACATGTTTTGCAACAGAAACTCCTTTGTAGTAGTCTTCACAGTAAAACCAATCTGTAAAATCCACTGGAATATCAAGAATGGACCATCTTTCATGCAGTTAAAGAAAGCTCCACATTTGAAAAGATAATCTGTTTTTTAACCTGTTTTGGCCTGAAACAGAAAGGATGGAACTTTGATCTTACCTCAGATTTTGTTAGGACAGCTTGTATATGTGGAGTCAGATCTCAATCAACTTCTATGAGCAAAAATGCTTGTCGGGTGCATCATTCGCAGTCTCACCACCACAAAATCATGTGCTTTCTGTAACATATATAAGAATCATCAGGCATAGGCATAGTGACGATCATAATTTTTTTGGCAAGCAATTGAAGAACATAAGACAGACGAAAAGTCTTCGGTGAGTTTTCAAGTCTAAGCACATCATAGTGTCTTTGAATCTCCACCAATTAACATACCTAAGAGGGGAGTTTTTCCCATTGCTTCGTCAAGCAACCTATTATGATCTGTTTTTAGATTCCGAGAAATGGCAGCAAAAGCTGGAACAGAGGAGAACAAAAAAAGATGCATCTTTCATCGAAGATCCAATTTTGTGTAGAGGCAATGCGGTTTACCATTGAAAGATGGAGAAGACAAGACAAGACCCAGTTAGACGCAATTCAATTTTCCGTCTCAACATTCAAATCCGAGTTTCGTTCCAATCTTGTGTGTTTAAACCGGTTTGATTCATCCGACCTGAACCGAAATCGTACCGGAACACGAATTTGAAATTTTAATCAATTCACTTAACTAGGGTTTTCCGCCGTATCTCATATAAATATTGCTACGCAGACTAATCCAAATTTCATCATCATCTGTTCTTCTTACCCGACCAAAAAAAACTCTCTTCTTCCTATCAAATTCGTTTTCTCTGTAATTCGTTTGCGTCTCTCGTTTTAGGTTCCTTTTGATGTTTGTCTTATGAATTCACGTGACGCGATTTTCTCTCCAAGAAATCGGTTACTCGAGAAGGGGCAATCTAAAAAAAAACGAGTGATTGCAAAACCCTAAGAGTAAACGTCACAAATTAAACAAAAAGACGGCAGCGGAAGGCGTAGATGGAGCCTCTAAAAAGGGGCTTCTCCGTCGGAAGCATCGCCGTAAAAGGTCTCATATTCCATTGCCCTGCGGAGCGGCGTCGCTGCCTTTACCGTTTTGGTCGGCCATGACACCTACACATTCTTTATTCTATTAAGCGTTTTTTTTTTTTGCTCTCTTTATCCAATTCTGAGGGTTTTTTTGTGTGTGTTTTCTTTTTATCAAATTCTAGAGGCAATGATGAGCCAATTCGAGAATGTCATGCACCACTCTGATATAGATCCGTAATGGATCCAGTGCTGAGAATTTTCTCTACCCAATATTTCTCTGAGCCGTCTCTGTATTTTTCCTACTCTTAATCTTACCCTATGTAGATGATGTTGATTCAATCTTCTTTTGTGTTTATGATTATTATCTCTCTAATTGGGAGAGAGAGAAAAGGCAGTGATGACTCGGAAATTTCAAGCTCAACAGACCGGAATTAGGCGTTTCTTTCTTTAATTGGAGATTCGTTTCTGTGTCGATAATCCCGCTGAACTGAGCCTTTCTCTCACTTTTATGAAAACCTAATTATATAGTAAATCTTTTGACATTCGTATGAAAAAGTGTTAGAGAGCATTTTGCTCATATAAACTGTAACCTAGTCCAAGCTTATGAGTGCAAAGCTATCAGCTTCTTCTTCATTGGCTTATCTTGGAATGGTGCACCGTGACAACTTGTCTTTTTAATCTTAATGGATTTTTTTTTTTTGCTGAATAATCTTAATGGATGTTGTTATATAATGATGTAACTTATATCTAATGATACTAGTATGAAAAATTATCAAAAAGTGATGAATTATTAAACAGACGATAATATAGATTTAAAGTATATAAGTTTTACATATGTTTTGCAACAGAAACTCCTTTGTTTTCTTCATAAGAAACAAACTGTTTGGTACTTGATCTGTAAAATCAACTGATAAAAAAAAAAACAAAAGGACCCATCTTCATGCATTTAAAGGAAGCTTCATATTTTAAAAGATAATTTGTTATTAACCCTGTGATGATCTATTTGGCCTGGAAAAAAAATGGATGGAACTTATTTCTCGTGTGCTTGCCTCAGATTTTGTTAGAACAGCTTGTAGAATGCTTGTCAGATTTCAGTAATCATAGCGTAGATCACCAAAATTTGCAAGCAATTGAACATATGATAGAGATGACAAGTCTCACTCTAACCAAGTCTAATAGAAGTTAGGTATGTCTATGTGAACATCATAATGTCTTGAATCTCCATCGATTACAGACGTGGAGACGGAGTTTTTTTCATCGGTTCAAGCATCAAAATAAATTTATCTCTTTTTTCAGTGAGAACAAAAGAAACCAATAATTGCGAGTTTTCCATCTTGAACTCTTACGAGTGTAGAAGATTCAGTTTTGTTGAGGCTATGACGAAGCAGTGCAGTTTAAATTAGGAGTTTGTACCACTGGAGGATGCAGAAGACAACAGAGAGAAGGCCCAATTAAACGCAATTCAAGAAGCTTAGAAGCTGAATCAACACTCGTGTTTCTGATAAGATCAGTAATTGGGCTTGTGGATTTGATAAAGAAGATTCAAACCGAAATCCATTTAGAGCATCTCCATTAAACTCCATTTGGGGTTGTTAACCAATTTTTTAATATAAATGTTCTTTTATTTCATTTTAAGAATCTCTTAAGAACTTTTTAATTTTTATCTCTTCCATTCCATTGGTAGGACTTCATTAAGGATTCTTAAAAATAATCATTTTAATCAAAATCAAGTAAAGGTGCAAATGGTTACACATAAAAGAAATGAATTGAATAGAAATAATAACAAGGAGTTGAATAAAAGTGAGTTGAATAATTTTCTCCAGCTCAATAAGTTAAATAAAATTTGTTCAATTGGTATTCTTTCTTTTTTATGAGTTACAAATTTGAGAGGAATGATCAGTTTTTCCTCTAATTCCGTGAGTCCCATTAATTTGTAAAAGAATGAAAATTCATCTTAATTGGTAAGTTTTTGGAGGAATCCAGTAGAATTAATGTTTCAACTTACTTTTATTCCTCTAACATGTTAACCATTTGCACCTTAAGAAATGAAATAGAGATCACGTGAGCTAAGAGATTTTGAGTAACATGTGTACAACTATCTGGGTCAGCATATGGGTGGTTAAATACGAAAAGCAGAACTCAAGGTACAAAATCTACACACAGAAACCAAAGCGTGCAAGGTAATGGCATAAGGACGTTACCCCTAGTTGTATAGCACATGAGGTATCATGTTAATACCAGTTCTTGAATCTACCATAGAATGAAAGCATTCCTCCATAATTGACAAGGCAACAGTTAATTTCGAGTTGCATTCAGCCTTGAGAGCATTTAAAATCCTGAGAGTGTTCAGAATTGACAGTAATCAACTCTCTGCATATCCAACATGTGCAATACCAACTGCCTTCAGGGAGCACCTGAACAGAAATAGCAAAAGTAATTCAGCCATCCTCTTTCGAGGGTAGCAATTTTACTGAGAATACAGAATACAGTTCTAGTAAGGTAAGAAAATTAGGTTAACTAATAATTATGTAATGTACTTTGCAAAGAATATTTGTAATACCCTAAAACAAGCCACGCGTTACCTTCATTGCTAAGCAAGCCTGATGGAAGGTAGATGGACAATTATCACAGCAGATCAGCTCACCCCATCACCACAATGTCTGACCACCACCACACCAACGTAGCCGTTCCCATATGATTGAGAGAGCTATTAATATAATATTCATTAAATTAATATGTATATATTTATTCATATTTTATTAATATATATAGTTTTTCATGAGAGACTACCATTATGGATGGTCTTAAATAGCTTAACTAAGAACCAGTTCTTCTAAATTTCACATATTACTGAATTTTTAATTATTTTTTTGCTTAAAAGCTGTTGTAAGAACTCCTTTGAAACTTTTAATTAGGTGGTTTTAGACTTCATATTTATTTACAATTATGTCATTTTCTCTTTAGTTTTTGTATTTAAATGAGAACAATGATTGTACAAACTTTTTATCCAATTAATCAAACAAATTATCAAATTTCTTCTCTACCAACAAGTCACTGGCTTGTATGATAAGTTACATGCTTATCATTTGGTATCAGAGCCACCGTTCCTCTTGATGGTGAACTTTTTATCTTTTAAAAAAGAATAAAAGGTTTTTACATGTGATCAGTTTGATCTTCCTCTACAGATTTATGGTTGAATAGTTGAGATGGAGACTGACATTCATGAGATGCGTGAAATACTTCAGAAGATGACAGCTGGAAACGTGGAGCCAAAACATATGGAAACCCTAGACATACCTCTGAAGAATATCGTCGAGCATGTGGTGAGCATGAAAACAGCAGCTCCTGAAGTTCATGGAAACGAGACTACACCAGCGAAGTATCAGAGTGTAGTTTATCTGGAGGTGAAGGAAGTTCTGGATTTGTTACTCAAACAACCGTTTAAACTTATGGGGAGCAATCCAGCTAAGAAAGTATCTGATAATTCATGGGTTTCAAGGTTTCTTTGGAGACGATCGCTATTTCTAGAAGGGATTTTGGTGAAAGGATGGTTCCATATAGCACATATTAAAAGAGGAAGTCAGTGTGACCACCAATCTGTTTTGAAACGAGATGATAAACAAACCAATTGTTTGTATCAGATTGCTGTGATTGGTTTTGAATGGGATCCAGGTGGATCAGGT